GTTCATTCTTTCACTACTGTATACTACTAATGAATTCAATTCTATTGCTTCAGCTCAATATGCAAATGGTGTGCGGGCGGGATAAAATGGTGGCAACAAGAGGCGGGAGAGCACTTGCCAAGCCAATTTGCAGCAATGCTGATGGGGCACGCTCATGCCAAACAGACGAGTGCCTCGGCTCCGCCCATCGGCTGTGTGATCTCGCCCAGCCCTCTGCCTCCCTCCAGTGTCCTCAGCCATCAGATGTGTCTGTTTGCTGTCTGAGATGGTGCTGACTACTGTCTGAGACCGTCCCGGCTCCTTCCTCCAGTTTCTGGCTGTTTCATTTCATTTTTTCACAGCTGTATAGTACTGATTACATATTCTGTACCTACTAGTAAACCAAACAAAGGCATTGTGGGTGGGCGACCTGGCAGCTGCAGTGGGAGAGCAGCCTGTCAAGCTAGTTGGCACCGCCGACGTGCATTCACACCAAATAGCCGAGCACCTCCGCTCCTTCTGCCAACCTGCATGATTGCGCTCTACCGCCCTTCCTCAGCTCACATGTGATTGTGCCCTCCTACTAGCATTTGCTGTTGACAGCCGTAGCACATGCCTCGCTGTCTGAGACTGCTCTCACCTATTTCCCCCAACTCCCCGCGAATCTATTTCTTTTTTTAGTACTCATCAAATGTATTCTACTGTAGCAATAGAATGAACAATAATGCTTGGGCAGAACAGAGAGCATGCCAGATGATGTGATGGCGGAAGGGCATCGCATCCACAGAATTGCAGCTGACATCCCATCAGACATGCCTCCCAGCTCGGGCGGCCTCAGGCTCAGAGGCTTGCGGCTGTGGCTGCGAGCACAAACGTCACAGTAACCATTAGCAACACGTGCGTTTTCTGCCATCAGCACCACTGTACCTGCTGCTGTTCGATGGGCCAGGCTTATCAGTTCAAGCGCAGCCGATGCCATCAGACACCACAAGGCCAGAGTTTTGCATCTTCGAAGACAGAGTACATGATAATGTTGTGCTAATGGGGGACTACTGTACAGAAAGCTCTGAAATGAATTCTACTACCTGTGCAACCTCCCCACGTGTCTCATCGTCAATGTCGTCATCGTTATCTCTGTCACCGTTTGCATCGTTAGCATCAAAGATGGTGGTGTGCGCAGTAGAGGTCAGCGCAGTTGCAGAAGAACCTTTATGGGCATAGCTTCCAAGGTGAACTCCAGGTCCTTGTATCCCGCTGAAACCTGGTAGTGCGTAGAGTTGATTGATGCGGAAAAGAATCTGAGAGTTGACACGGTGGCAGTGGCTAACAAACTCCTGCACAGCTCCACACAAGATGTCGTCAGGGTCGAGGGCATCCAGACACCGAGAATACAGTGCATCTTCATCTCTGATGGCGGTGTGTATGTGCCGTACATCAACGTTGAGTCTCGTGATCTTCTCGCGTGCCCGCTGAATGCAATGGACCAGCTTGATCGTCACGCACACTCCTGGGTTTGCCCACTGCTTACCGCTCAAGTTGCTGCTAGTATCTTGCAGAAGCTTAAATTCTTCGAGAAACTGGTAAGTTGATACCTTTGCCCAGTCGACAAGTGGTCACAAAGGAACCATGGCAGCGGCGGCCTTGTTGTATGTGTCGACTGCTCGCCTGATTGTCTTGCACTGAACTTGAAGGGACTTTGAGATATGAGTGCGCATTTTATATCCTATGTACATCAGTATACAGCAAAATAAATAAAAATAAAAAAGAAATGTGTACCGGTCTTTGCAACATTGAGCTTGCTGAGCTCAAAAAGATGGAGAACAACAAGCTTTTGAAGCTTGTTGAGAGCCCAGTGATACTTGCAATCGCACAAGTATTGGAGTGCTTCCATGTACGCGAGTGTTGCAGGAGTCCACCAGTTGTGACAGCTCACGCCAAGCTTGATCTCGAGTTTGCATACCTCAAGGTTAACACGATTGAGCTGATCGTTGATGTAGCGACGATCCCGCTCAATCCTCCGAGTGGCGCTGACTTGATTGCCATAGTTGCTTGGATTATCGTCACAGGCAAGGAAACAGAAGGTGATTGAGGTCTTCTTGTTCTCGAGATCACGGAGCTTTTGCAGAAGTTCGATGTATGCAACCACATGCTGGCTGTATGATGCTTCTTCACCGAGATGAGCGAAGTATTCTTCCTCTTCGTCCGCCCACCTGTTGATCTCCTCTGTCGCGATGTCCTTGTACTCCAGGCTTTGCAGTACTGCGGCCTCCTGCTCTATAATCTCGAGAGCCTGGATGTAGTTGTTCAGTAAGAATGTACCAGTACTGATATCCTTATCTTCATCCCATTGTTTGAAATACACCTCGATGAAGAGGCACTGACAATACGCTGACATGTACCGAATGATTGGTGCAAGCTGATTTGATCCACCGAAACCTCGTTCGAGGGACTCAACATCTTTGATGCCCATGCCATCAATGTTGTTGGGGTGGTAGTGCATCTGGCAAACATGATTGTGAGTGTATGCATGAAATGCGGAGATGCAGAACTTTGCTCTCTTGTGGCAAAATTTGAGGCCAAGTGAACTGCGTGAGACAGTCGTCTCTGTTGTGCAGCCGATGTCATACGCAATCATGATGTCATCTCCAAGATTCTCGAGTATCTTACTGATAATTGCCAGCAGGTACTTGGCTCTGAGAGAGAGAGAGTTAGCCGGCATGGCCTTCGGAGTGTGAGAAGATGAAGATAAAATAAAAACATACAGCTCTCCACTGTGCATCATGTCAATTATCCATAGCATGAAGCCATGGCGACAGGCAGCCACAAAAATGCCGGTCTCTTTGAAGATCTTCCACATCTTCTTTCGCTCATCTGAGGAGGCGGCCTTCCAGTTTTTGATGCACTGGGCAAGCACTTTGAAATGTGCAGCATCTTTGAGGCCATGCTTGGAGAGTGGATCTGCCGTGCATTCAGTTAGTTGAGGTGAACCGGCTGACAGGTCTGATGCATTCGGATTTGCCGGCGTAGGCTGCGTAGCTGACGGCGGTGCTATAGAGAGAGTGGCTGATGGGGCATTCGACAGGCTTCGAGTCCACAGAGTCACTTGTGATGTTATCAATGGAACAGGCGCTGAGTATGTTGCAGGAGCATGAGAGTGAGCTGCATGTTCCCCTGCAGCTTCAAGTAACCTATTGGTGGGATCGCCCTCTCTGAGCACCTCGTTCTCATCGCCAAAGTCGAGCCAATCATCATCGTCATCATCACTGTCCTCCAACGAGCTTTTGGATTTGACTGCGGGACCTTTTGCCTGGCGACCACGGACTTCGTTGGTGAACTTGTCAATGTATTCAGCCAGCACAAAGTACGAGCTGTCCAATAAGACACGCACATCCCCTGCTGTGTGCTTGCCAAACAGTATTGACCTCTTGAGACTTGAATTACCATCAATGCACACGATTCGACTGAAGCGGAGCTGAGGTTCGTCTTCAAGCTGCAATAGAGAATATAAACTCAGTAATACAACATAGAAATAAAGGCGTAGCACGTACCTTATAGCAACATGTCCTACAGGCATTTTTTGCATGCCATTCAGGTGTATTCCAATCAAGTGCAGCATGGACACGGCACTCAACCTCTCGCAAGATGCACAAATAAAGCTCAAAAGTATCTGAGAATACTCTGCGTAGATATGATTGGTAGGGTATCTAAAGGGGTCACGAGTTTGTTCGTGAGCTCGTGTGTTAAGAACGTAGAGTTGAACAGATTAAACATACCTCATAGTAGTCGCATACAACTTTGGTGAACGCTTTGATACTGAAAGACAGCTTACATTGTCAAAGCCGGTACAGGAGCTCGAGAGTCGTCAGGGAGACAGCAACATTAGGGAATGAGGTGGTCTTGGTGATGAAGCCATGTGCTATGAAATTGAGGGTGGAGGAAGTACTCTCCGGGGACCTATCGATCAGCAGCGAGGGACGCAGCGTGCTCAAGTCAAATATGGAAAGCTTCCATCATAGACATGATGCGTCATGCACATCCAGCAAGGATGGCCGAGGCCCGGCCGCCTGAGCCACAGGAGCACACGAATGCATCGTGTTCTTTGATGCGTTGCTGTACTTCCACCAGAAATACTCGTCAGTCATGGGGACGAGCAAAGCGTTCCACGCGTCAAGTTCTCGCTGTCTTCGTGGCTGCCAAGTCTTCGTTTGCTTATACCAGCGCCCCTTGAGACTATAGCGAAGGTTCAGTAGCACACGCCGGAGAATGAATGCAGTCTCACCTGAGGAGGTCAGAAGCATTGCACATCGCATGCCTGAAGAATGGGTCAACCAGCATATCTTTGTCCACCCACACCAGCTCATCTCCATTTCCCCCTCTGTCCAAAACATTCTCTTCTGGAACGTACGACCCTGCATTGCCACTCTCGAATCTGCGTATCATATTCACGGTTTGCTGATTGTAGCCTACAGACATGTGAGTGCCAGTGCAACAGAGACAAGGCAAAGCCCATACTTGCAAGCATCATTCACACCCTTTTCTCTGCCACTTCAGATTGTTCTGCGTGCTGTTTCCCTCCAATGACTTCTTTGACAGGTTGTCTGATGCCCTGCGCATTGGAACCACCCTTGAGGCCATCGAGCTGCTTGGGTCTGCTCTTGGTGACAGCTGATGACGCGCCGCTTGCATATTTCTTTGCTGCAGGACATCTTCTCATCTGCTACAAGGACAGGCGAATGACAAATAAGACAGTATAATGATAGGGCAATGTTGGAGTGGGGAAGCGACAATAGTGGAAGAGGGGATTAAGTGCGCGAAGTGTCTGAAGTGTGTCTCGTTTCAAGCGCATACACAAGTGCATATAAATGGTGCTGCAGCTTGCGCCTACTTCACTGTCCCCACACTGTCCTTTCTTCTCACATGCATCCCAGTGGCTCTTGATACCATGTCTCAAACGGAACTTTGTGCTCCTGTCTATCTGCCGACTCCCACAGAAGATGTGGTGTTCTCGGTTCTAGGCAGAGAAAAACATGGCGAAAGGTTCGGCTGGTCCGAGTGAGTACATCAATTATCAAGTACGCTGTTCTGAACTAACTTGCTCAGTCTTCCCCACTTTCCTGTTGGCACTAAAAGCCGACCATTCCCCATCACCATTCTCTGCAGAAACGAAGACAAGTACAATGAGCTATGCATTATCGCCCCGTACACCTATCGCATCACCTGTAAGAAAATCCGCAACCATTACAATGTCAGCCAGGCACTGTCACTACTTCGCGACTGGGAGTTCATCTCGGAGGTTCTCTCGTCTCCGGACAGGTTCTATCTGGTGTTTAAAGGCAATGAAGGCCATGAGATGATCACACTTTGCTGGTGCGCAGTATCTACCCAACTAACTACCAATATGTGGGTGTTGAACAACCTTCAGGGCTGACGCATATGAACTCTATCGAGGGCAGGCTCTCCCTCATGTTGGCCACAGATGCACTTTGCTACTGGAGGCTCTTATGTCCATGATATTGAGAGATAGAAAACCACAGAGACTTACTGATGTTCAGGAGGACCTCTCCCACTTCGATGCTGAACTTGACAGACTAACATCAAGTTTCTCTTCCATTCAACTAGGCGAACGGACCAATGCGGGTCCTGGTGCAGTCGGCCCCTCAACTTCCAAGAGTAAGCTGCTTTTGCCAACGTGCAAGGTTGCTCCTCCCCCACGCAAGGCTCCATCCAATTCATGCAGTCGCATGCCCCTTCAGTTGGCAAAGCTGCGCAGCAAGGAGCCAGTTGTTGTTCCAAGTGACACTGAATACAACTCCGACATTGAGGTTCTCGAGGATCTTCCCATCAAAGCATCTGACAAGGGCCAAAGTAAGTGTATGATTATAAAGCTTGTGCAAATACTGACGCTATGCTAGCTCTTGTCCCTGGTGATGCTGATCACAGTGGTCGTGTGACAGCATCACTAGC